TGGGTTTTTATTTCGAGAGATTAAACTCATATCACCCGAGTATATCACTCATGGCGTTGTGAACGAAGCTTTGTCGAACTCTTTTTTGGCCTATGTATTGTTTTATGATTCCGTTAATGTCCTTAATATGTATTGTGTATCTTGTTTTTTTAAAGTATGTTTCTTGAACTGCGAAAAATAATATAACATTTCAGCGCAATGATAACTCTAAGTTGTAAGTTCTTTTGTTTAGCGCAGTGATAAAAACCTTACATTTAGCACGTCTTTACACTGTGTCTGTATAACGCAAATGACGTCACGTCAAAATATATGCACGGTCGTTCAATACCATTGTACGTAGTTGCAAAATCGGCACTGGTATGTGATAAAGAGCCATATTACCTAAATGATCCACTATGAATATGTGTAAAAGGGGGAAACCAAAACTTATTCGAACATTGAAATATTTGTTCAGGATAATGGATACTTGAGAAATAATCTACATTAAAATAACAGCTGATTTTGTAAATGGTCTGAAAAGTGATGTTTTGTTTCCAATTAAAAAAATCATTTTGTATAATAAAGATAATGACTTTACATTCACGAGTATGTCCGAAATAAACAGTATATAAATAACACATGGGTTTGTGGGTAACAGTTAAAATATCATCCCTCGTAAAAATACTGTTACCCTCGGCTACCGAGGGTAAGTAGCCGAGGGTAACAGTATTTTTACGAGGAATGATATTTCTACTGTTTCTCACAAACCCATGTGTTATTTATTTTATTACCCAGAACAAAAATACTGTGATGATCTGAGATTGTCAACTAAATCTAACTGTAACAAAAATAAACCAAGAGTAATAATTACTAAACTGTTTTTAAGTGTAATGTAGGCCTACTAGAGAAGATTTCTTTTTCTTTCATTTTTTAAGCAAGCAATGATATCTACAAATCATTAACATACAATAAGCTGTGTTTTATTTAGAAAACAAAACACTAACTCAGTTATACGGTTATGATCAGTGAAATCTGATCCTTCTGTATCCAGAATATTCTTTGCATGGTTTTTGACCTATGTGTTTTCAAAATAACTATGATATCCTATGTCTGTCCAGCATATCTGTAATGTTTCACTGATTAAAATTGTTACGTCTGAAAGCTCCAGTTTGACACATAATTCACATTGCAATAACTTCCGGTGAAAACGGATGTTTACTTTTGGACTGTTCAACAAAAAGATATTTTATACACGAAAAACACTAAAGGGTGTAAGCAACTAACCTTTTTGGGTGGTCATAGTAACTCTAGTGATGCCCTATTGTGGTAAACTTCGAAAATAACAATGAATCGAGAAAAATGGCGGCCATTTTATTTCATTTTATTTAGAAAATAGACCACGTGACCAGATTGTATACTGTTAAAAAGTATTGTTACCCCTGTAACAGTATATATTTCTTGGTCACGTGGTACACTTGCATTAACAGTAAGAATAACTCCCAGAGGCCTATGAGAAATTAACATTACGAAAAAAGTGAAAGATAATAATACAAAATAATTGCTATTAGCTCAGCGGGTACTACTATTTATGTAACCCCTCAATCTGCTTGAACCCAAAATGGTAAGTCTTTGCCGCCACCAATGTAGAGCCAGACTAGGCTGTATGTCTGTTTTATACTGTCAGCAGTTCTTTTTTGTGTATGTTAATATTGAAATCCCTAAAACTCAAGTGGGTTACATTTTCCTGGTCATTCGGATCATTGATTAGAGTCCTTAAAATGTTGAACATGTAGCCGCCGCTAGGGATATTGCACTTTTTATTATCCCTCTTGTACAGACTGAATCGAACCGCGTATGCAATCTGCATGTTATTTTGTTTTGATTAATGCTTCCGAGGGATCACCCTTTTTCCAGATTTAAACGAACTATTCCAAGATTGTTCATTACTCAAAATAAGTAGTAAAATATAAACAAACAAAGTCTTTGAATGGATAACTATGATACATATTGGTTAACTGAAACGTTTTACAGTCTGTACTACAGAAAAAGAGTGATAATGAATTTGGTTTTTGTACATATATGCATAAAATCACAACAAACATTAAGCAGAGTCAAACGAAAAATCCCTGATGGTTTATAAGTAAATTATTTTGAGGATTAATGATATTACAATGTTAAAGTTAAACTTTGTCACTAAGAATGTAGTGAACAATGCAAATGTTTACCAAAAAATCAATTTCATTGATAAAATTTCATTTATGTGGCGATGTTTCTGCAGGATATACATGAAAGATCTGACGAAACATTCCCAAGGAATCAATTCCCATAAATCTTAAATCTAAGAAATAAAATATGTTAAGCAAAGTTGTTTTGAAAGACATATATAATTTGAGCCGCGTCACGACAAAACCAACATAATGGGTTTGCGACCAGCATGGATCCAGACCAGCCTGCGCATCCGCGCAGTCTGATCAGTATCCATGCTGTTCGCTTACCAACCCTATATCACATAGAGAAACTGATAGCGAACAGCAGAGATCCTGATCAGACTGCGCGGATGCGCAGGCTGGTCTGGATTCATGCTGGTCGCAAACCCATTATGTTGGTTTTGTCATGACGCGGCTCATTTCAAAAACTCAGAAGGTTAACGATTAGGCTTGCAAATATGTGCACTCTTTCCAGTGTCAGCACTGTCGGCTACTCAAGTTTAGTCTATTTATTTCTTTCACATACATACAAGTAGGACAGGTCAGGTATGTGATTTAACGAAAAACTTAGTTACATTTAAAAATTAAAGTAATGGCACATGAAGAAAATGGAATGTTACGGGAAAACCCGTATGAGACAGACCAAGCATAAGTGTGCAAACTCTCAAGCAAACGAAATAAATTTAAATACATAAAGTAAGAAAGTAATAATTATGAAAGATATGAGACAAACCGACAATAGCATACAAACTCGGCTTATTCGTCTCACACAATTTAAAAAGACAAGGAAAACGTTACGCCGACATTTGAATATCTCTTCCATCAATCACGACGAATGCCTAGCGAAGATTCCTTGTATTATACTAAGAAAGAGAAAGAAAAAACCAAAAGGGGAGTAACATATGTGTATAGAAAAACAGACATCATTGTATAGTTTTTCTCCCTTTCTAGAAGATGGGAGTTCAATAGATGGGGTTAAAGGCACATCACGGCGATAACTACCATTATCCTGGAAAGAGAAAAAAAACAACAAACAGCAGCAAAATTACAATTTCAAATTAAGTATTCTCAGATAGAAGTCAATGAAACGAAACACGTTCTATTAAAAGAAATATCATTTTCGTTTAAAAACACGAAACCAAAAGTGTAGAGAATTTAAACGTTTTTCATCTGAGTATATTCTATATCTTAAATTAGACGTCAATCCTTTCGGAAACTTTCTTATTGTGATACGAGTTAACCAAATTATATATCTAGAAATTGATGAAATGACTTAACATGTGTATAATATCGTTAATAAATTTAGGTAAATCAAAAAATCTAAAAACTTTTTCACTGAATTTGATTTTATTTTCTCCAAATGTTTAGTAAATATATAGTTATAGTATTAAGGGGTTTAAAGAAGGATCATTCAATAAATATAAGTGAGAGAATGTATATTTTCAGTAAGAAGTAAAAGAGCTTTTAAACACATGTTATAAAAAGGAGGGCAAAATTCACTATGCGGAAAATAATTTTCATGTAAAGATTCGTTAAATTTTCTTAATTGTAACCAAATCCAGTATTTTACAAAATAAAACCAAGGAGAAGATCTACAAAGAACTGTATTCTTCAAAAATGACTGCCAAGATAGAGAGAAATAAAGAATCCCTAAAGCTTGAAAATATAAAATGTTTCTTTTTTCCCCAATTCAAAACCATGTTGTCATGCGGCGTTATACATTTTTCTTGTTATTTTCATCATTTTTTGTTTTATAAGCTTTAGTTACTTTAAGACACTTCTCATTAATTTGTTTTGCTTTCGGTGTTCTACAGAACAAATCTCCGACTTCATTCGAAAATCCTTGACCAACTTGAAAAAAGAAAAATGGACCGTAAATCCCAAAACGTCTTATTAAAGAAAAGGGAAACCTGTATTTTTTGCACATCCAGTGTTTATATCTATGAAAATGATTGTCTTATATATCTATTATCGATATCATCTTCTCCCCTTCCATAGCACACATCTTTTTTCAGTTTGAAGGTTAGCTACGAAAGTAAGATGTGTTTATTTAATAAATTTTAATTGTTTTATTTACTATTTCTTGTTATATTTCTTTGAAGATAATATAAAAATGAATACATGTGCTCATGTGGTAAAAGCACGCGACTAGTCTTACAGAGTGGTGTATTATGAGATTTTCTGGCACCGCTGTACACAAGAAAATCTTCTGTCTGATATGCAAGAAATATTTGCATTCATATCCCGAGAGCAGATATTGAACAAATGCCAATTTGATGTTGTAGAAGATAGCAATTGCTTACTAGCATATTTTCCCATTTTAAAAAAAAGTTTTCCCCAAATAATACATAGTTATGAGTCAGATATAATGACGGCTCATTTTTTTCTTTTCTTCTTTGTTTTCCTTTTTCCCCCTTTTAAAGACAAATTGTTCTATGAATAAGTATGTCATATAAAAAAGCAGTGTCAATTATTTTGTCAAAAATATATGCATGTCATTTTCAATTTTGTTACATTTTTTGTATAAAAGGTATACAAAGCTATATCTATGTTTTATGTTCAACATATTCACATAAAGAACTAAGCAATTATTATAATATCACATTGTAAACAAGAGAGGTCATGTGAAACACAAGTTATAGTTGAGCTTTACAAATGTCAATTATAATTATTATAATATCTAATTCTATGTACACATGGAATCATATAATAAGTCTAATATGATGATATAATACCGTGATATAATAGTATAAACTACGCATATAACGTACTTCACCTTAAAACACATGATGTAAGATACAAACAATACAATTGGCTCCTTCTCAAACTTGTAGTTTTATCTTTATATTCAAGTACGTTTGAATGAGAATATCCAGGTGTCGGTTTTGTTCTAAGAAAATATCAGCAAAATACATTCTTCAGAGAGAAAACTTAATGTAATGTTTTGATAGAATAGTGTACGAACGGGATAATTATTTGTTCTAAAAGATTAAGCATTGGTGAATTTTATGTTGTTTTGAAATTGAATTGAGGGAGGAAAATCGTTCATGCAAGTTTTAAGAACGTTTGATAGCAAAAAGGACATCTTTACTTCTTTTCCATAGTTATACATGACCATGCAGTTGTTTGGAATAGTAAAAGTTCTTCTTTTCAGTGTTCTTGTTATTCATTTGACGAGTTCAACAAAGGAATTTGATCGTCTAAAGTCAATGGTCAAACATTTAGAAAATAGACTTAATACCGAAGGTGAGTTCAGAGACGAAGATATTGCTGAAATTACAAATCGACTGGATGGCATCGATAAAGTGTTAAATGCTACCGTCGGGAAAAGACAGTCCGTTCCTTTAGTAACCACAAAAGCTAGTAAGATTGATTTTGAAACAGTGGATACATTGAAAGAGGATTTCACGAGACTCAGGACTGCCTTCACCGAGGAAAAGTCTGAGGCTGTAAGGTTCCGACGGGAAATTCCAAAGATTGAAAATAATTTGATATCCCTTAACGAAGATGTTGAAAGTTATTGCAAAGTCGCTGTAAATAATACTGATCAATTATTAACCAACTTTGAGACGGTCAAACATGTGTCTGAAGACAATTTAAAAACGTCTGAAAATGAACGTAAAATGTTACAAAGTATAGCTGAACAGGTTCAGCAAAACCAGCAAAACACTAAACAAATTGAAAACATTGAAACTCTAATAACTAATTTATATTCGAAAATGGAGTATTTATTCTATCCTACATCCTGTCGTTCGTTAACAGCTATGGGCAAAGCAGGTAATGGAGTAAAACAATTACGACAAGGTTTTGAAGTTTACTGTGACCAAACAACAGACGGCGGGGGCTGGATAGTATTTCAAAGAAGACTGAATGGCAAAACAGATTTTTATCGTAACTGGGCTGAATATAAAAAAGGCTTTGGTGATCTAAATGGTGAGTTCTGGCTTGGTAATGAACATTTGAGTCTACTGACATCAGATGGAGAACATGACCTTCGAATAGAGATTGAAGATTTTGAGGGAAACAGTGCCTATGCTAAGTACAGTAAGTTCAAGATATATCCGGAAGAAAACAATTACAAACTGGAGGTTAGTGGATACAGTGGAACTGCTGGAGATTCTCTAGAATATCATAATGGAATGATGTTCTCAACGTATGATAGAGATCATGATACACGCTCGACCAATTGTGCGGAAAAGCATCATGGTGCATGGTGGTATAAGGGTTGCTACTTTTCCAATCTCAATGGACAGTATTATTACCAGTCTGGCAAATCAGATACTACTGGAATTATCTGGTTTCATTGGAAGAATACTCGTTACAGTTTGAAAAAAGTAGAAATGAAATTCCGTTAACTTGTTTAACTAGGATATTGATTATCATCCTTTATAAAACTGATAAAATAATAATTGTTGTTTTGCGTTATTTAAACTTTACAGAAACTTGGACGACGATAGCTGATGAAGGAATAGACACTGAACAAAATGTAAAATGTTTACGAAGTTCTGTACATATATCACTCGGTTAACATTGACCGTAATTACATTGACAGAACATGGAATGGATCAAACTCACAAAATTGTCCAAAACAGAATAAAATGAATACTTAGGAAAAATGTTTAGCGGTCACGTAGTACAATCAAAAGTAATTGGACATAGAGTTTATTAAATATTAAAGAAAAAAAATTCTATACGTACAGATCAATATGTCGCTATGAAAAGGCAATGTTTACCGTTGATATCAATAACCAAATTATATCTGACAAGCATTTTATTATATTTACCGCCTTATCAAATTCAAAAATGCCCACTTTGATCCAATCCCGTTTGTGGTCTTAATAGAGAGGTTTTATTATATACGACCTTTCATAATAACGACTTATCATCAATGATAAGAACAAAGAAATTGCAAATTATAAAAAAATCTTTTAACAATGTTAAATCACGAAGCTATGAACAAGTTCCTTTTTTCACACGGCCGGATCTGTGTTTTTGGTGTACGTATTATAGTTTTGAGAAAAAATATTGGCTTTATTTCAAATTAAAGGCTGGATATTTTAAGATGTAGCTCTCTACTGGTTCTTTTCAGTGGAAAATTCCACGCGCAAAATTCTTTTCTCTTTTACGTAAATCTTATAGAATATAAGTGATAAAAAACATTTTTCAAAAAGATAATATCGGGGCTATATTTTGACATTATTCATTGATTTAACTTACACAGAACAAAGACAAATAAATATACAGTGAGTTAGCCAATAGCGGATCATAGCCAATAACGGGTCAGTCAGTAATTTAATAAATTATTTTATTTAATGTTTTGAACTTAAAAGTGTTATAACCTAACAGTCATGTGCATTTGGATGTTAGCTACTCGACAGCGAAAAAAAATGTAAACATCCGGATAATTCTAATCAGATTCATTCAGATGCTTTACCAAGCGTTTCCGTTTGTCGCGAAATATTGCGTCAGTAACAACACAAATTCGCAGTCGCTGCTTTATTGCCGAAAAACCCCAAAAGATATTAGATCAAAGCTGGTAGGTATTTGATGTCCAATATGTTAACTATCTGCAGCAGCAGCCGTTTAAAAAATGCATGAGGAATTATAGTGATAGCGCTGGTCAATTAAATTGCATCACGTTGCCCAATAGCGGGTCATGTAATTTTCCAGGAAGGGACCGCCTCAAAGTTATTCAACAGGTTTTAGAAAATATTTTTTAAAGCAAATTTTGGTTTGTATACAAATAAATATAAAATTTAATTTATTTATGTTATTATTGCAAGTGAATTATGCAGTCCATGCTAAAATATGGTGTTTTATGTAGTATAAACTGCTGCAACATTGAAATAGTTCTTGACTAGATTCTAAAATATTATTTTTAACTGTACAGTAACTTCTTTATTTTTAAGTTATCCATTTTAAACTTCCAATACATGTTTTTTATCATCACCCACAGGATGTGTGACAAAATTTATTACTTTAGCACTCATTTTTTTACAGAATTATTTCCTAATTGAACTTAGAATTTTGTTTAAAATTTAATAAAAAAAAAATTTTATTATCATTATTATTACTTCTTCATTTCTTGTGGTATCTACTTTTATCTTCAAATGTTTGTTACTTATTATCACACACATCATATGTGATAGATTTATTACTCTAGCATGAATATTTTTGTAATCACCCCCCCCCCCCTTCCCGGACTTTTGGTTATTGTTCTTTGTCATTACTCACATCATTACATGACAAGCTCATTTGTTTACTTGTTTTATTGTTGCAGATTCTAATGCCTAAGGGAAAGAGAAAAAGTGTTCAATGTAGTCCAGCCCAGAATGCAGCCTCCTCAGTGATAAAAAATACAGAGGGAAGCGAATGAGTCCTGGGAAAGTGCAGAGAGTGAGACGAGCCCTATACAGTGTAAGTAACAAGAGTATGTCACTAAGAAAAGCTGCATGTGAGTATGGACTGTCGTACGGGTTTTTGCAAAGGAGATACAGTGGGGAAACAGACATCAACACTATGAAAGGTCCTGCTACTGTTTTCACTGAACAGGAAGAAACATCTATGGCTGAGTGGTTAAGTGAGATGGCCCAGAGAGGCTTTGGCCTCAGAATGTTGTGAGTTTTTTAGACTTTGTTCAAGGCATTGTTAGAAAAAGAGAAGCGTAAAAACCCCATTTCTTGATGGGAAGACCTGGTTACAGCTGGTATCAAGGATTTAGAAACCGGAATGCACACATAATTGGTTTACGCTCAGAAACACCTTTTGATCTGAAGCGTTCAAAAACTTTCAAAAGAGACACTTGATGAATAAGGATTTCCTGATCAGTAAAGGTTGTCTGGAAAAAAACCAGGTTGTATTTGGAATGCGGATGAAACTGGCTTCAACATGGGTGCAAACAAGAGCAAAGTTATAGGTCCATCCCGTAAGGATATTCCTGTGCCTCAAATAAGTGCTGGAAAGCAAACGTCTAACTGTGATGTACTGTGGCAATGCTTCAGGACAAATGATGTCACCATTTTTTGTTTTTCCTGAGCCCAAGCCTAGAGCATATGACCCATTAAATGGAGCTCCAGAAGGAAGTTATATTGCCTATACGAAGAAAGGCTGGATGGACGGCACAACATTTTCAAAGTTCATTGAACACTTCGATAAGTTTGCTGGTGTTGAGCGACCTGTTGTGTTACTATTAGACAGTGTTGGAAGTCACATTAGCCAAGAAGTGTTTGTGAAAGCAAAGGAAAAGGACATTGAGCTGTATCGCATTGTCCCCAATGCGACACATTTGATGCAACCCTTGGATAAAAGTGTATTTGGTCCTTTGAAAACAAAATGGCACTTGGTTGCTAGAAAATTTGCACGTGAAAACCCTGGAAGATGCATTGGGAAAGAGATATTTTGCCAGAAGTTAACAGAGGCCTTTTGAACTTTTACAAACCTCTGACTGTTATCAATGCCTTCAAAGCTTCAGGAATTTATCTAGTGGATAGCTCAGTAATTTCAAGTGAATGTCTGAAACCCGGGCTGACATTCTGCAATGATAAGTCGAAAAAGTCTAGTACAGTCAAAGAAGTTGAAGTAGAGGAATATCCTGAACAAGTCAAGGCAAAGGGAGCACTTGAAGTATTTCAAGAAACGTTATCTACTCCTGTTCGTGAAAGATATCAATCACGGTTGTCTAAAGGCTATGACATTGAAGGTCAGTCCCCCTTGTTTTGACATTTATAAAAAGTTATATCAGAAAGCAAATCCAGTTAGTACTGCTGTGTCATCTGATAGAATGATTAAAAAAAGTGGATTGGATTTATTAGCAGATGTGGCATTTCAGTCATACAATGATCCCCGAGATGCTGATAATAGTATGCAATCAACTGATGAACAGACATATTCAGTTCAGATCTCACCAGCACTAAGAGAGGCTTTAGTTTATCCTAAGGCACCAGAAAGTTTGAAGCCTGTTAGAAAAACATTACTTAACAGCTTGCCAGATAATCTTTCTTCACCAGAGAGCATTCGTGCAATGTCCCTGAAGCAAATTCAAACAGTGGTGAAATTTGCAGAAAAGGAACACAAAGCAAAACTGGCATTATGATCATGAAAAAAAAGAGTAAAACAAATCTATGTGAGAATGCCTTAAAGATAGGAAAGTCTAAGATTAATGTAAGCAAAGGAAAGGCACCAGGGAAAAAGAGTAAAACAAATAAAGTTAATAAAGCAGAACTGAGAACAGACTTTTGTAAGTGGTGTATGGCTACTCGGGAAGAAGATATGTCATATGGATTTGATAAACTGTGGTTGCAGTGTGATGGCTGTGATGGGTGGTTGCATGCAGAATGTGTTTCAAGACCTGTTGATAAAGACGCAGACTTCTTTTGCCCAGATTGTCAATAAATGTAAATTAAAATTTTATTACACAAAGTATGAATTAAAGAATAATAGTTTTAAACATGGCTAGCCCATAAAAAATAAATAAATGCTTTAATGCTGTGCTAGTATTTATTCTTTTTTCTTAACTTATACTCATTAAGATTACTTTTTTATATAAATAAAGCTATTGTTAAATATAATTTTCCTTTATTAATGAAATAATTTTTATTTTTCAGGAAACTTCAGAACAATCCATGGTCCTTTAAAAGTCAGTTATCAAAGGGTATCACGCTTTCCAAATAAGACCACCATCAACTACACCCCAACACGTCTAACTGTAGAGCCTGAATATACAAATATCCATGATACTGATGCCTGCTTGGTGTGGTTGCCGCCACTTGAGTCATTCCAAACATTGTTACATGATAGTGTCACTGACCAAAAACGCCAGCTACGGTTGCGAGATGTAGCAGGACTTCCAATTGGCCATGTTCCACGAGGGATAGCTGGTTTTTTCGTACAATAATGGACAAAGGACATATCGAAGCTGAAGTTACCGGTGAGCCCACTCAGAATTTCCCACCATGGCCGGCTCCAAGTTCTGAAGGTGGTGGGGTTGTGTTGCCATGCAACTATATTATATTTCACCCAGATATTGAGAGTAATTTTCAAAAACTTTCTGTAATGTTAGATAAAATCCCAGAAGGCCCTGCTATGACACTGAACAAGGAATAAACATATGTAAATTTTCAACTCTGTAAAAGCCAATTAAGCCTAACAATGCTATCATTATTTTTTTCAAAGTCTTGTTATTTTAAGGCTATCACTTTATTTTTTCAAAGCTTAGTTATTTTTAATGTCCATTTTGCACATTCCAAAAGTTACTTATTGGTCATATTTCTGAACCAGTTTTAGTTTCCTTTTTGCTTAGGTTAGTACAGTAAAAGTTAATTAGTATTTTGTATTAATTTACTTGCTTTATCACAATGATTTTATATTCAAAGGTATTTTTATCAGATGATAAGCATCTCATATGATATAAATCCATATTACAACATATTTAAACTCATTTTTGCACTCTCGACAGAATTATTAATCTTTCATACACATAATGTGCCTGTAAGTGACTGAAAATTCATAATTTTTTTAACCAAGCAAGTATTGTTTAATGATCTAGTCAATATTGTTTTACATCATTACATGTATTTTTTTAGGTTTGACATTGAACCAAGTCAATATTGTTTAATGATATTAAGTCAATATTGTTTTACATAATTAAATGTTTTTTTTAGGTTTGACGTTGAACCAAGTAAGTATTGTTTAATGATCGAGTCAATTTTGTTTTACATAATTACATGGGTTTTTCTTTAGGTTTGACTTTGAACCAAGTCAGTATTGTTTAATGATCTAGTCAATATTGTTTAACATTATTCACATGTGTTTTTTTTAGGTTTGACGTTGAACCAAGTCAGTATTGTTAAATGATGTAGTCAATATTGTTTTACATCATTACATGTATTTTGTTATAATTTTGTTTGTTTATATCACAGAGTGTACTCAATAAGAGAAAATCAGTTGACA